AAGCTAAAGTCGTATCACCTAATCAAAAGAATTACCTAATTCCTCTAACTAAAGTAGATAGGGAAGTAGGGTCGAATCCACAGGGAAACAAGTCTTTCTATTCCTAAATAATTAATGTAATCTAAACTATTAAGTAACCGAATTATTATTATGTGGAAATTAAACTAAGGGAAAATAAGTAAACTAAAGCAAATTAAATAAGGGAGAAATCAATAAATCAAAGCCTAGGGTATAGGTTCACCAATAAATAAAATTCCAGGGTAAAACACAATAATCAATCATCAATGCATCAATTAATTAGATCATAAAGGGCTTTCGCTACGTATTACAATCACAGAATTAACCTATCGGTATTAAATCACATCTCTCGAATCTTGACTTAACCATTTGTAAATTAACCTGCCTATTGAAACTAAGCCTAAACACTAATTCTCATCTCTCGAATCTCGAATCAATATTGCATAACTCATACAATTAAACCTGGTCAAATCTAATTGCATAGCATTAAATCAATCAATAGGAAATCAATTAAGCATTGACAATCAACAATAATATACTACCCCTTCATATTATTTATGGATCCCCACAACCCTAGAAATAAAATTACTCACACATATTTAAATCTAAACTAAGCAGAGCAAATTTAAACAAGACATAATTAATTAAGCAATTAATTACTGAAAATAAAAGGGGAAGGAATCGTGACTAAAATAAACAGAAATGAAGAATTGCATAAACCAAAAGTGTAGAGAGAGAAAACAAGAGTATTAACCAAAAGCTTAAATTAAAATTCTGGAAATTAACTAAGGAGAAGAGAGATCCCCGTCACTTGCTAAACAAACTTATTTATACATAAGCTCAAAAATCCTAATTAAAAATAAAGTAAGATCGTCGAAACTACTCTTAGAAACACGCACCCGGTCGGGCGGAGCTTTGCCCAGCCGGGCCCGCCTTTTTGATGGAGACTTCTTCGCTCGCGCCCGATCGGGCGCGAGACAGGGCGAAGGGCTGCTTCACTTTTCCTTCCTCGCCCGGTCGGGCGCGCCTTTGGGCGAACCCACCTGGTCGGGCGAGCTCCCGGGCAAGGGATTATCTTCGGTTTGGTCTACTTCTCTTGGCCCAATTCCGGGTTTCCACCTTGGGTCTTTAATACTTAGTCCATTGCCTCGGTCTCTTCTTTGTCGAGCCCTTAATCACCGACTCGATGACCCTAACCGGTCTTGGGCTACGAAATATGGTCATATTTCTCCAATGCTCGTAATGTCTTATCATAAGTCCGGGAAAATACTCCAAATCTGCAACATCCTATAAAACAATACCAAATCTACGAAAACACTAGAAAACACATATTAGTAATAAAAGTGGCTCTAAAGAGCCAAACATACTCCTAAATATGACCAAGGGATGGGGGTAAAACACTATATAAAATGTACATGTCACTATATTCATGCTTTCTCTCGTTTTAAGGAATGACAAGCTCATTCTTTTTTAGACTCTATACACCAACCCGATGATTTGTCCCACTCTCAGCCTCTGCATCCAACTTCCCCTACCGTTACTTGGTCCCCCCTCCGGTCGGATATTGTAAACTTAATTTTGATGGCTCTGCTACACATAATTCAGCATCATCTGGAGTAGTGCTTAGGGATCATTTTGAGAATCATATTGCTAGTCGTTCTTATAACTTGGGTTCCTACCCAGCTTTTCTTGCTGAGGCTATTGCCCTCCGTAATGGTCTTCTTTTGGCCAAAGACCATAACATATCTCATATTTTCATTGATAGGGATAATCTAACTGTCATTAATATTTTGCAGACCCACTTTAGCTGTCTTTGGAAACTTCACCTCCTGATGGTAGATATCAAGACAATTTTGGAACTTTCCGGGCCTTCAACTCTCAACATATTATTAGAGAAGGAAATCGGGTTGTAGACTATGTTACTTCACTTAGTTACTCTACTCCGACTCATCAAGATATTGACTCTTTTATGGACAGCAAATTTTCTTATTTTTAACTCCTTGATAAATTAGGTCACAGTCTTGTGAGAAGACGGTCCTAATTTTCCCCGTGTACTTAACCTTAAAAAAAAACTAAAAAACTAATTTAAACCTCTTTTCTCTCTCTCTTTTTTTTTTTTTTTTTTTTTTTTTTTTTTTTTTTTTTTTGTGGTAGCCTTGTAGGGCACACTAAATCCTTAATTGGCTCCGCCAATGAGTGTATGAGAATGATGCAAAAGTCAATAGTTAAAACACCAACTGGGTATAATATCCCCTCCATCCCCCTTCTGCCTCGCAATTCTTTTTGGGTGTTCCTTTGAGATTGCTTTATAATCTTATATTAGTGAATTTTCCACTTGTAAGCTGCAACTAGAGTTGTCAATAGCTAACTCGACTTAAGATATTAACTCAAATATGATCTTGACCTGACTTGATTGAATTTGCCTCAAATATGATGACACAAATTCAACTCGACCTATACTAGCCCGACCCAGGTTCAACTCAACTCGACTTATCATTGACCCCACCTGTAATGTATTCAACTCGATTCAAATATAACCTATACAACCTTGATCTTATGAATTACATCACTTACACAATAATGCTCCCTTTAAAAAAAGTGCTACTATGAAGATATTTTTCTCCAAACGATACTATACGAAATTGCTAAACAATGTTTCAAAACCATAGAATTCCTTAACTAAGTGAAATATCTTAGCTTCAATCCCAAGTTTTTCCCATGCAGCACATTGTTCAATTCAAATCTAAACTACATGCAATCAATGGCGCAAAAAAAAAATAAAATAAAAAAATAAAATAAAAGGAAGTATGAGTAGAAATTTAAAAATAGTTAGAATACTGAGTGCAAATACAAGCTAAATATGTAATATAATTTAATTTTTTATTATTCAGTATTTGAACTAACTTGATAATAGCTTGACCCAAAATTGCTTCCAATACAATAATGGCACAAATTATTTCGGGGTTTTTTGGAATCCCTCGGGATACAGGTCGTGAATATGTCCAGACGGCTGCAGACACTTGCAAAACAACGAATATTTCGGTTGACGGAATATTCGCCTTCGACGATCAAGTTAGTGATTGGAAAAAGAAAATAACTAGAGAGATAAAGTAGAGAGAGTTAGAGCAATTTAGTATGCTTTGAATGATATGTCTCAATCCACCCCTCCCATCATAAATGATTGGGGTATTTATAGGGGTGGGAATGTGTGCATTCTAGGGTTGGTGCCCTAAAAAACAGTGCACTGATTGGTGGCGCAATCAGGTTGAGACACGTGTCTCTTGAGGGCGCCGTTATGGCGCTTTGAAATTGAGCCTCCTGATGTATAGAGGCCCTCTCTCATTTCAGATGCTCTTATGCTTTGCCACGTGTCGTCATCCTATTGGGACACGTGTTACCCTTTTATTGGGTCACGTGTCACTATAGGATTGGTCCACGTGGTGGGGTAATTTTTACCCTAAACATTTGCCCTTCAGAGGGGGTGGCTCGTATCACAAGTGCCGCCTCCTCTAATTTTCATTCGTCCAGATATGTTTGAGTATAAGGCTTTTGAACAATTCTTTGGATAGGGCGGACTATACCATTCGCCTGAAGTTGGGAAGCATTCCTTTGGACTATTTGCCTTGAGCTTGTCCGCCTGATTTCTTCTTGGACTGAAGTCTTGGAATCAGGCAGACAAATGGTGCCGCCTGGTGTCAGGTGAGACACCTGTCCTCCGTAATTTTCGGACCAACGATTTAAATTCATTGATGTGGTCGTTTGTTTTGACGTGCCAATTTAATAACCTATCAAGAATCAAACAAATGACACAATTACACTAATTGACATGGAACATGACTCAACTTAAACTATTGACACCAAATTATCTGCATTTTAAATTAATTTGAGAATGGACAGTACACCAAAGACACCCAATGACATGAATTTAATAAAAAAAAAAGTTAATAACGTCATTAGAAGGATTTTTAATGATTAAGTTCATGCGGTAATTGTCTTTAGTATATTATTATATCAATGAGTGTTTTTAATTACCTACCAAGTTAATGTCAATCTAGTTACGATGAAATTTCATGTTAATGGTTATAGTTTAATCTTAGTTCATGTTAATGTGTGTAATTAACATTTGTCATATCAAAAATGTGAAACACAATGTCACAATCTCATTATCTAGCCAAATTAAAGTAAGACTTGTAGCTCTTTTAATAATAAGAACTCATCAATTACAACTCTTAGACAAATTTTATTTTAAATATACACATTCAAACTGATTTATAAAATATAGAATAATTTTTTATTTCCTTATTAGAGCTTAAAAGTATTGTCACATATCTTCTATCTTCTCCTCTTTAGTGGCTTAGTTAAAGTTTAGCAAATATTTATACAATATTATTGGTGAAATCAATTTTTTTTAACAATTGTTTCCGGGGTGAAGCCCTTGTGAGCCTCATATATTAAAGGTCCGCCCCTAAATGACACTAACCCAAACCTGATAGTGACCAAATCAACTTGACCCTATCCAAACTAAATAACCCACTACAAATCCGAACTAAGTTGACTTGATCGTAATTTAATTGAATCGACTAGAATGAACTTGGCCCGATTCAAACTTGACCAAAATCAATAAGATGCATGACTCAACCCGAACATGATTCAACCCAAACCAAACCCACATAGGTTAGTCCATCAACCTGACATGACCCAAAGCAAGCTAAACTGACTTGCATTCACCCGACCCACACCCGATCTGAAAACTTAATTTAATAGATCTAGTCACAGTGCACCCTCTACGTTACCTTCTAGCTCTCCCTAATCGCTCTGTCAAAAACAATGTTGTAATCCTGATTTTCACATTAATAATACAAAGATGATTAACAGAGAAATATACTACGAACGAGCAAACGACATAGTCTGCTTACAATATTTGTTATATATATATATGACCAAGTTATAATGAGAATTAGCTGAATAATAGGAACTAGGAACTTATTACAATCGTTGGATTAAAAGCAAACTCGCGCGAGATTAACGACCGTGATTTAATTTGGCAATTCGTTGGATTCAACCGTTTCTCTCTCCTCTTTCTCATATCAATGACGCCATTTTCTCTCTCCTCAAGCATTATTCAAGGTTCCTCAAATCAATCAACAGCTCTAATATCAGAAAAAGTTGCTACAATTTACATACTTCTTCAATATTGTGCTGAATCCGTTGCAAAATTTCTCAACATTAGAGGTAAGCATTGAAAATTTGGTATAATAAATCGATGTTTAGGGTTTGATACTTTTTTTGCCTAATCAGATTGTATATCCTACCAATTAGCTGCATAAATTTGCAAATTCATCAACAATTTGCTGTTTTTTTAGTTTAGCTAAGTGATTATAACTGTTTTTATGGTGAAATTTTGAGGCTCGTAGTTATGCGAAATTTCAGAGATGTTGGAATTAATTTTTTTTTTTGTTTTTTGTTTATTTATTGTTAGTATGATCAATTTAAAGTTCATAATACTGAAAGTCGAATCATATAAAATTTTTGGCGAATTCACTTTTATTCAATTCTTGAAATTTGGTATTTGTATTTCACTGATTTGTGCTTAAATTTCATTAAAATTTAAGCAAAATAAAGTGAATGCACACTAACTGTTTGACAGATTGCCCCAATGGAATCATATTATTTTATTAATTTCAAAAGTAGTTAGATAATAAGTAAAAGTAAATCAATTATATGCTAAAGTAAATCGAATTGAGTGACATTGTGAATGAATGTTAAATTAAATTTCTAGCCTAATTTTTTTTCTTAACTTTGTATTTGTACTGATCATTAGTCGCTTCCTGCTTCTTCTGGTGTGCAGGACTTGGTTTGTTTCTTCTGGCTATTTGAGTTGCTTATTATGTAATTGAGGTAGTTGGTGCAAACCCTATTGCAGGTGCTTCCTTTCGCAAATCTGCTTCCTTGGAAGAGTGTGTGTTTTTTGCTTCTTCTAATTCTGATGATGGCTCGGCCATAAATGCTGCAATGCCTCACTCACTTGATGCTGATCATGACTAAGTTGCCTCCTCTGATCAGCAGCACCAAAATGTGCTCAACATTTCCTTTGAACATGTTGCTTCAGCTCATGATATGTCACAAACTCCACCTCTTTGTCCTATTTCCCCTGCTTATTTTGCTAATCTTTGCTTGGAAGATGAATGTGCAGGTGACAATATGGTGAAGGGTAATTCATCGAGGCATTGCCAACACTTTAAGGTTCTGTAACAATCCTCTTACCTGTCATTCTGGATTTTTTGAAAAACAAATGATAACATGTTCATTTTGAATCTCTGCATTCGGATTTTGTTTTTAAATTTTTTATGCTACCTACTATGCAGATTGAGTTCAAGGCACAACTGTGATGTTCATTCCATATTCTTATTGTTTTTTGTTTTGTTTTTGTTGTACATCTAATTCACTCTGCATCTTTGAATATGAAATAAGGATTGTGATATGAATTCTCTCCCTGGCAACTCTAATTTAGTATGGCTATCCGTTTTGTTTAATTTGTTTTTATAATTTGATTACAACTTGATATGAGTTTTCTACTCTCCTATTTCACATCTCTCTTTCACACACATGAGTAAGGCTATCTTAGCATGGTTTAGAGTGATTGGAAGACATAGAGTGTTGAGCCCTAAAAATCGCCCACTTGTGCAATGAAAGATTGAGAGAGTTGTCTAAATGAAAGGAATGTGTATTATATGGTATTATAGAATTTAGTTTCATAGTTTTAAGGGAATGTTTCACTTGTAGAAATTATGATTGGCTGTGCAAATAAGAAAAATTGGAGTGGTTTTTAGCTACATGTTTCAGTTTGGGATTTAAATGTGATGAAAATCTGCAATCTAGCAATTCTTCTTCTGTACATGTTTGTTTGAATCTAAAATGTTTTGCCTGCTGCTGTTGAACTCAGGAAAATTCTTTGCCAAAAGATGAGAAGCCTGTTGACTGAAAATCTGTTGAAGTAGCAAAGGTTGAGACTGCAGCAGAAGCTGCTCCCAAGAAAACTAAAGAAGCACCTGCTGCTGTAGAAGATAGCAGTGAAGCTCGCACCCTCTGCTCCAGCTGTTGGGAGCAGTGAGGCTCAAGCTGATGATGCTCAAACAAGCAATGAGGATGCTGCTCCAGCAGCTGAGGAAAGCAGTGAAGCTGCAGAGCAAAAAGAAGCTCTAAAGCAAGAAGAAGCTAGAAAATATAATGGTCATTTTACTTAAAAAAAAAAAAAAGTTAAATGAGATTATCGATTATGCTTTAGATTGTTACTAGGTGTACTAAAACCTATTAGCTCAAGTGGTAGAGCATTATGCAAATGCATAGGGGATGTAGGTTCAATTCCTACATAGGTTGTCTCTAAAACTAAATGAAAAACGCTCGAAGTAAATTAAACAGCATTGAAGTAAATGAAAAACACTCAAAAGTAAATAAAAAACGCTCAAAAGTAAATAAATCAAAAACAGATGAGGTGAACTGGAATTGTTCTAGATGCTTGTCTTCTCACAAAGCATCTAAAAACATTCGATGACATTCAATGGGAGATAACAAGCAAGGTTTGGGTGGAGCTGCCATGTGATGCTGCTATGCTTTGCTCACCCAAGTCCCATGGCGTGCAATAAAGCAAAGGCGGGGAATTCTCACGTTAGTGTGGCTGTTAGTAGCTCATCTTGGTTTACATTGGGTTTGAAAATACAAAAGATGAATAAGGTTGGAAAATGTAGATTCCTATAGTAGTTGTCTAAAGTAAATAAAAAAAGTATTTAAAGTGAATAAAAAAGACTCTAAAGTAAACCTATTTGCTCAAGTGGTAGAGCACTATGCGGATGCATAAAGATGTAGGTTCGATTCCTATACCTCTAAAAGTAAATACAAAACATTCTAAAGTAATTCAAAACATCTCAAAAGTATATCAAAATAGCTAAAAAGTAAATCAAAAGTAAATAGTATTTACTTAAAAGTAAATAGTATTTACTAAAAAGTAAATAATATTAACTCAAACGTAAATAGTATTTACTCACAACTATTCAGCCTAGGGTGCACATTGCTAAAAAGAAAAGGCAGGGTATTAGTTTACCAACATGTTTATATCTATAATCCCTAGATAAGTGACCTTGAGTTTCTAGTAATAAAAGTAGATACAAAATAAGTTAAAGTAAATAAAATATTTATTAAAGTAAATAGAAATGAAATTCACCTTTTCTACTTCTAAAATAAGGAAATTGCTATGAAGAAATGCTTATTGACAATCTCTAATTGCTATGAATGCTTAAATATCTAGTATAAGTGATAGAACCTTCTGTCATACCTTACCTTATAAGTGATAAGTGAGCTTGAGTTTGTAAGTAATAAAAGTAGATACAAAATAAGTTGAAGTAAATAAAATATCTCTTAAAGTAAATACAAATGAACCTACGTGGGATTTGAACCCCATCTTTTGTGCATTTGCACAATGCTCTACCTCTTGAGCTAGTAGGCTAGTGTATATAAAGTTGACAATAATAAAATGAGCAAAGACAACATCAGCAACTTCAAGATCAGTGGCTAAGACCAAATGAAATAAGTTAAAGTAAATAAAATAAGTTAAAGTAAATAAAATATCTATTAAAGTAAATAGAAATGAAATTCACCTTCTCTACTTCTAAAATCGGGAAATTGCTATGAAGAAATGTTTATTGACAGTCTCTAATTGCTATGAATGCTTAAATACGTAGTATAAGATTATAAAACCTTATCATATCTTTAATCCTTGGATAAGTGAGCTTGAGTTTCTAAGTAATAAAAGTAGATACAAAATAAGTTGAAGCAAATAAAATATTTCTTAAAGTAAATACAAATGAACCTACGTGGGATTTGAACCCACACATTTGTGCATTTTCACATGCTCTGCCTATTGAGCTAGTAGGCTAGTATATATAAAGTTGACAATAATAAAATGAGCAAAGACAACATTAGTAACTTCAAAAACAGTTTCACTGATGCAAGGCTCCTAGCGGTTTTTCACCTTCCACGAAGCAGCTACATGAGCCTTCCATCATTCCCCTTGATTACAGCTCCCGCACACAATCCCCTCCCCCCAAACATCCTCCCATCCACATTCAATTTGTAGCAGCCAGCAGCTTGTCTCCATTTCTTACGCTTTGGCCCTCGCACCCACCTTATCTTCCCCTTTTCCACATCAAGCTCCTTCATAAGCTTAGTAACATACTCTACAGATTTAATGGGATCGCACTCCTCCTCAAAGACCCACCTGTTCCTTGCTGTCCATATCGCCCAACACACGGTCATGAAGAAACCATGCTCAGTTCTTTGCAACCTATCAAAGCACACACTCGCCATATCTCCAAAATCTCAGAAATAGCCACCTATCTCTCCACTCAGGTCACACGTATCCCAAATCTGTCTCTCAATTACGCACTCCTTCAAACAGTGAAGCTCGCTTTCCTCTACAGTCCCACATATGCTACACATTGAATCAACTTCCATCCCCTTCCTTCTCAGACCCTGCACAGTAGGTAATGGCCCCTTGCAAGCCCTCCAGATAATAAATTTCACTCGGGGTAGAGTATTAATTCAAAAGTAAAATAGAAAAACTCAAAAGTAAACTCGCTTTCCGCTTGTTTCTAGCATCAACCACCCTGTAACAAATCACCAGCCTAGCTCCTTCACCCACCCAAACAACAGAAACCGACAAACATCACCACACCCTTTTTTGCCACACAACTCAAACACACCACCGTACACAACTCTAATTTCACTCCCCTAATACACACATTGAGAATGCACCGCCAACAAATCAAACCCCCAAATAAAAGCATAATATAAACAGTCACAGACACACCACACAGGAAAAGTATAAATCGAGAAACACATAACAAAATCAAAATTATATACAATAGATTCAATCGAAAGCTAGTTAAAGAACCAACAATAAAATTGAAATTAAACTCTTCAATCTGGAAAGAAAATTGTGACAGAACTAAAAAAAATCGCAATAAAATCACAACAAAAATAAGTAAGACTGCACATTTCTAAAAAATAAAAAAAAAAATAAAAAAAAAGCAAAAAAAACCCTAAATTTCACAATTTAAATCGCTGAAGTTTGATTAAAAGTCAAATTAAATAGAAGAAAGCAACGATAATCGAAATCAAATTAACTCACTTGCTCATAATTAGCCAACAGCGAAGATCCAAGAACATATAAACGAATTTAATATGCGCAAAACCCTAATAAATAGAATTAACTCAAAAAAAAAAAACCAAATCGGAAGAATTACCTCTGCAGAAATGATCAAATCACACCAAATTCAACAACATGACAAACGAAATTGAAGAAATCGTCAAAATAGATGAGCAAAATCAAAGAAATAGATTGGCGAAATCGAAGAACAAAATCGTCGTTTAGAGAATTAGAAGGTAGAGAGAGAAAGTCATAAGAAGAGAGAGAAAGGAGGGAAGCAGCGAAAATACTAGAGCAGAAGTCATTCATAACGCATATTTACGAAAATACCCTTAATAAAGCGGGTGAAATCTGCATCGTGCGATGAAACGCAATCAACGGTGTATAAGGGTTCCTAGTTTCTATTATAAGTCTTGGTTCTCACATAATCTCAATCCTATATATATATTTTATTGGCTTAACCTAGCAACTATGTAGTCTGTATTATGTTTGAGATTAGTAAGAAACTCTCCTCTCGCTTATTCGCGAATGTAGCTAGCACATGGAGAGTGAACCACCTAATTATTTTTTTTTTCCTTGTTAATTTTCTTTAATTTTTCTTGCGTTTAACTTAACTAATTAATTTCTCATTTTTAAAATCAACTCTCACATTAGCACTTGACTGATATTAACAAAAATTAAACGTAAAATTTATAATGAGCCAAAATTAAAAGGGATATCATATTATCATGTACTCTATATCATATACTTAGTACTCCTGATTATTAAGAAAACAAATTTAGCTTACATGCGGAGTACCATATGGAATTGTCAAGAATCAGAAAAATATAAAGTATTGTTATAAATGAAAGTTGCAGGAACAAAAATAATAAGAACAATATTACCGGGAATAAGACTGAGTCGCGGATTATGTCGCTTTCTTTAGAACATTCACGGTACTGCCTTTAGTTTGTGCAAGCAGATCGTACACCACCGGATATCCCCCAGGATAAAACAGCCTCTCAAATTGCAATGTACCAATGGATTTGCACAGAACCACCGGGCTAACTAAACACCGAAAAATAAAGAAAAATGCTCGAAGTAACTTTGTAGAGAGAAGAGAAGAGAAGAATTGTTTTCTGTTATGTTTACAAACCGAGAACAAAGAGGCCTTTTATAGGCAGAAATTGCAGCATAACAGTATAAAATATATCAGCCATCAAATCCGCCCATGACCAGTCATTTTACCAAAACCGAAAATTAAAATTAAACGGCCAAAATTTAATTTACAAAACGGTAAGCAATATTAACACACCATTAAGTCAGAAGACGGAACAAATTAAAACGGTAGCAAAAATCACGTAATTAAGCCTTGTTTAATAAACCCGACCCAGCCCGGCGCGCATGTGTGATAGGTTGGCTTAGTAGGTAAGTCCTCCCTCTTCACAAAATGTGGGTCGCCCAAGGATTACATCCAAAAACTCCACACTCTACATTATAAAGGAGGTAAAACTTTTATTTCCCACCGATATGTAACTTGTTGTTTCTCACAAAATTCACACTTCACGCTACTTTGTTCCAACAAATATCAATGTATAATGTTGACTCATTTGTACTCTGCTTGTACCTACAAGTCTACAGCATAGGTATCCACTTTTTGTTTGGTCGAGTACCAATTCAGTCCAGAACACGAGATTAGAAAAAATAAAGCACATGGTTGAAAGTCTGCAATTTGAATTAATTTTTACCTTATTCCAATGCATGTTTAATTAGACGATAAATTAGAAGATTTAACAAAACAAATTGGTTGGATTGAGAATAGTATTTAACACAAGATAAATGAAGTGTGAGAGCAGAAAATTGAAGTATTTAAAACTTTAAATTCCAAGACTACATTTGACATAAAGTAACTCAGTTTTGCTTCTTGATAAACTTCTTGCAGGCGCAGGCCCGGCCCTGAGTTATGTTTAGAGGGGCGGCCGCCCTGAGCCCCTAATAAAAGGAGGCCTCGAAATATAAAAAGAAAATTGCTATTTTATTATTAAAAAAATAAAAATTTGGCAATCATCATCATCACCACTCCAGGAAAATTAAAAAGTTTCCTACAATACTCACTCAACCCCCTACTCCGTAAGCGGGCGTTTGATTGGAGGGATAAGAATAAGAGGAATAAAAAGGAAGGATAGGATAGGGATAGGGATTTAGTAATGGGGATTATATAAAAATTATCCTTGTCCCTTGTTTGGCATGGGAGTGAGACTTCATTATCATTTCCTTGTCTCATGTTTGGTATGGTAGACTAAATTATGGGGATAAAGAATGTTATTACATTTTCACCCTTTTGCATACTACATATAGATAGGGATGGCAGGTGGGTATAAAAATACGGGTCTCGCACCGCACCCGCCCCAGTTGGGGTGTGGGTATGGGTACAAGCTTGGCGGGTATGTAGGCGGGTATGGATATAAAAGTCATACCCACCGTGGGTAGTGGGTAGGTGGTGGATTTTGAGCTATACCTGCCTATTACCCGCATGACCCGCCCATTACCCACCTACCCACCTCCTTACCCGCATACCCGCCCAAATACCCACATATTGCCTACTACATTGTATATTATGCTATTATATTATATATTCACAACAATTTAAAGTGTATAATGAAAAGTTATATAGGAAATTTATTAATGTTGAGTTGGCGGGTAAAAGGCGGGAGGTGGAGCGGGTGTGGGTTTTGGTTTCTACCTGCTTAGGCGGGTGCAGATGTTAAAATTTTACCCACCGCGGGTGACGCGTAGGTGGTGGGTATAAAATATTTTGGCGGGTGCAGGTATGGGGGAGGGGGTACCCGCACCACCCAATTGCCATCCTTACATATAGATAAGGGCTTGATCAAATATTGACTTTTTATTTTTATTCATCAAATATTGACTTTTAGAGAATTATGGGAGGCAACGGTTTTTTCATCCTATAAATTAAGAAATCATTTTTTTTTTTCACTTGCATCTCTTCTCTATTTTCTGAATTTCATCTACCTCTTTATTTATCATAATTACCCATTATCCTAGCTTCTCTCTATTGAAAGAAATTTTTTATGTTATGAAATTAGCTTTGGTACTGTCAAGAAATATTGTGAATGTGAAAATTGAAATCAATATTGTTTTTTTTTATAAGAAAAATTATGAACTTATGAAGGGCCCAATTTATCATCTCGTCCTGGGCCCTTAAGAGGTCAAGAATGGGCCTGTGCAGGCGTCTTAATAAAGTAACCGAGTCGAGCTTAAGTAGCCCACGAAATGTCTCATCTCAAAAGCACCCATACCTGATACTATAATTATTAATCATGACCCGATACTATAATCATTAAAGGGAAACATGACTAAATAGATGATATGATGCCATGCAAAGACATATTAGTTTTTTTTTTTTTTTTTTTTTTTTTTTTTTTTTTTTTTTTTTTTTTTTTTAGTAAGAAGAATATTATGATTAATAAAAAATCATACGGCATCTACAATAATAATAAAGATTTGTAAACCACAGATTTAGAGAAAATAACATAAATTTTACAATCAAAATCATAACTATTTTGCATATCGGGCATAGCTCACACTCCACCGCTTCAAACTTGACGCGAGCAGTGATTTTCGATGTCTTTGCATCTTTCCAAGTAGAGACCTTCGCAATTTGCGCTAATGTTTTGATCGTAGAGTTGATGACGAACCCTAAACCCATATGAATCCAAATCACCTTCTCAATTATTATTAAAATCCTAAAATAAAATTCTCATCCATAGATGAGAATCAAAATCCCAGAAAATTGGGAAAAACTCAAAAAATAATTGGGACAGACTCTCATGAACGGATAGAATAAAACAAAGCAAAACCAATCAAAAACACAAAAAAGCAAATTAAATCAAAGAAAAAGGGTCGAAAATAGTCTAATTTTGGAAGAAATTAGACTATTTTCGGCCTAAACGACCAAGAAAATTAAAACTCTAAAAAGAGAGGAGAGAAAAGAGAGCCCAAATATTAGTTCACTGCTGCGAAAATAATCATATTTCCAACATATCAAAATTTTAAAGACAATTTACATAGTAATTAGAGCTGTCAATTCGGATATTCAAGTTGTACCATCACAACAATAAATTATTTTGGATTATTTTCACTTTTATGATACATTATAATATGTTTTTAACTATTTATATATATGTAGATAAATAGAACACGATTTCTTTGTAGCTAAGATGATAATAGGTGTGGTCTTTTCTTAAGGAGGTTTAGTATTCAAACCTCTTTTAAATATTATTTATTAATTAACAAATTACGTGAAATTACATGTATATTATATTACACATAGTTGACACATATAATTATATGTATTAATAGATTAATCTAAATAAGTGAGGTCAATTATTGACCAATTTATATAAATTTAGATCCACCAAAATAAGTGAGGTCAATTATTGACCAATGTAGATGAATTTAGATCCACCACTGGCCATCAACACTCCTCTAGGCATTACCACACGTGAAACATATGTGCAACTGACCGTTGGGGCGGCAAACAACACAAACATCTATACCATGTATCATATTCTAACATATCATCTCGAGTCCTCTACCTTTGTTTAGAGCAATGCACACTCTAGCTTGACGTAACTTTCATTAGCAAAATCATGTATGTAACTCTTCATGATTTCTCTCATTTCACCAAGATTCAGGCTCCTTTAATTTTTTCCTCCCTTGTGAGTGACCTCCAAGGAACAATCACAACAATTCCATCAAAACTTTCATCGCAACCACCACCTTTTGTCACCAATTGCATCATGACCACCACCAAATTGGGTATTCAAGTTGGTTCAGGTTAGGTCAAATCAGGTATGAGGTTATGTTGGGTTAATCAAGCCTCGAGATCAAGTTCAGGTATGGGTTGGGTCTATTTCGGTTTAGGTCATTTTGAGTCGTTCACCCTTTCGGGTGTAGGTTGGCCCGAATTTGATTTGAGTCAAATTTAGGCTGGGTTCAATTTCAGCTTCGGTTTATGTCAAGTCGGGTTTGGATGGGTTAATAGATGGTAAATTCGGGTTTGGGTTAGGGTTGGGTCAGATAATTATCAGGTCGAATAATGTTTAATTAAGTTGGATTATTCTTGAGTTTACGTTAAGTTTAAGTTGGATTAATGTCGGTGTGTCAAGTTGAACCTATATAATTATGCCTTCCATAATTCGATCAAGCATTATAAAGATTTTATTAAACCTATGTAATAGAGAACAAAAGGTATATAATCTAAACAATTGTACCAACATGTTGTTAAGCCAACATATTGGTATACATGATCTGAAAAAATTGAAAAATTCTACGATTTTATCATTGTATACAAAATAAATTCAAGATTAATTTTGCTTAAACTTGTTTCGGGTTATTGGGTAAAAGCAGGTCGCATTGATATTTAGTTTCATGTTAGCTTTAGGTCTGGTGAATGACATGTTGGGTTAATAATGGTGAATCAAATAATTGGGTCGGGTACTAGTTCGAGTGTGGATCGTTGTCGGGTCAAAGTAAATTGGTTGTCGTTGATTACTACCAGGGCGGGTGCAGGTTTGGGTTCAGGTCCTAAAGTATCGGATCAAATTGATTGTGGTTAACATCAGGTCGGGTTCGGGTCGGGTTATGTGTCACTAGTTTTATCCCATTGTTCGGACATAGGTTGGGTTCAGATCATTGCCGGTTATAGTGAATTTACCCATCACCACCCATTTTTGCCTAGCCGTGCATGATTGAGGCTAAAATGATATTTTGTGATTGTGATTTGTGATCACATGGTTGAAGGGAATTAATTGATTCTCCTTGACTAGTGCATGCATGGCTACACTGAAAGCCTTCCTTATTTATAATTAGTACACAGTGGAGTTTGCTCCACTTCATCGAGACACACAAAAATTATGTTACTCTTCCTCTTCTTTAATCCAAAAATGTTACACAAACATATAGTCTCTAGTTGTTGGACATTGATCATAGTGTACCGTTCGCAATCTAGTTAGCTTTCTGTCTTACGCCGTAGAGTTGGAGATATAATCCTAAAGGTTGGCTGCTATGAGTTCGCATGTACAACATGGGGTAAATTTTGACTTTAGGGCAGCGATCTATTGTCACGTCACGACATTTTCATCCTATAAGCCATTCTAATTCTATTGTACTCTCTAATAGTCATATTTCTTACAATTATGCTTGTTCCCAATTCTCTATATCAATTTG